TGGTCTATGATCAAGCATTTGTTCTTTCCTTGGCCCTGGTAGTAAGCCTGAAGTTCTTTCTCAAAATGATAATAGTTATTCACAGAGGACGGCACAGTTTTAATTCAAAATGCTAAATGTTTGCGCTGTGTTCTACTTATGGGGTCTTGCCAAAGTCTCCGTAAAGCATCCCGATCTGCCATAGACATGTCAAGCATCATCGGATCATTCCAGATCATACGGTCCAAGCGCTAGGGCAGCTGAAGAATTATTTTTTTCTGGGCCCCACTCAAACCTGGCTGCTGAACAAATTGGTTAGGGTAGCATTCCCAAATGAGGATTATGGTTCTGCAAAATCCAAGTGGTACACTAGGCATTTGGGTTCTCTTTTAATGATAGAAGGAAGCAGATGGAGATATTCTTTGGAAAGAATATCTCAACATGCCTCAGACCACTGTACCCCTAGAAATTCCACTGAGGTGACAGGTTCTTGAATTTTTGTGGGATTTCTTTCCCTTCCTCTTTTGTACGTGTATCCGACCAAGAAGTCTAGAGTAGCCGCTGCTTCCTGCTCATATGGCTAATCAGCATGATATCATAAATGTAATGGATTATCAATGTAATGATGCCTTGTGGAATGAAGATGCCATAGAAGTCCCTGTAGACTAGATTATGGCATAGGACTGGAGAATTAATATTGTCCTGTACTGCTGATTCTGCCAGCAGAAAGTAAATTATTTCTGGTGGTCTTTACTGATAGGGAGGGAGGGAGAGAGAGAGAGAGGAAGCATTTGTCAAATGCCAGGGGATATGTTGATTTGTTCCACTAATGATGCTACATCTGGACCAGCAGCTGCAATTGGGTTACTGGGTTTCACCACCTGATTAAGTTTACAATAATGCGCTGTCATTTTCTGAGCCCCATCTGTCTTCTGCACAGGCCAAATAGGCAAGTTGAATGAGGATGTGGTAGGATCACCACACTGCATCTTTCAAAACCTCGTTGATAGAATTTATCTCTGAAACACTCTAAGAATATCTTATTTGCTTTGGTTTATTATTTTGGTAGGGAGAGGCAGTTCTAGAGGCTTTCATCTGGACTTTTCTACCTTATTTGCTATGGAGCTACTCATGTGCTTGGTTCAGGCCTCTAAGAGACTGATGGAGGAGATCTGGTGGGAGTGGAAGGAGTCAAAGTTCTGCTTGCTGCCCGATACTAACTAGGTGAGCTGGTAGCTAAGTGACAATATACATGAACTTCTCAGTGTCTGTGCCCTGTGCTGGCTTCAGAGTACAAGAAATACGACTATTACTTTACTTCTCCTTCTAAATATCATCATCTCATAATCATGAAGCTGTTTTTCCACTTTATTTTACAGAAGATTTATCTTTTGTTATTCAAGTTTAGATCTATAATCCATCTGGAATGGCCTTTTATATGTAGCTTAAGATAGGCACTGAAATGCATACTTTTCCCATACTGATGCCTATTTGATTCAGCATCATTTATTTAAAAAATATCCTTTCTTCCATTGCATTGCTCTGATACCTTTGTGGTAAAACAGGTGACGGTACATGGCATGGAATAGAATATAATTATTGTACTTTAATAAGAAGGCTTGATGTCTAGGAATGCAAGTCTTCCAAAATTCTCATCTTCACTATTTTGGCCTTTGCCTTTCCATATGCATTTTAGAATTCACTTGTCAATTGCCACAAAAATTCCTGTCAAGATTTTAATTGGGGTGCGCTGAATGTATGAAACAGCGTGTCAAGAGTTGACATTTTTAAAATATTGAGTCTTCCAATCTATGAACATGGTGTATTCCTCTATTTATTTGTCTTCTCTAATTTCTTTCAATAGAGTTTTATAGTTTTCTGTCCAGAAGTCACGCACATGTTGTTAGATTTATTCTTAGATATTTGATGTTGTGATGCTATGGTAAATGCTAACTTTTAAAAATTTTTTAATTGTTTTGCTACTCTGTAGGAATTGTTATATATGCTCTTCCATTTTGTAATTTTCTACATTTAATTATTAATTGAATTTGTTGAATTTTCTATGTATTCAATTATGTTATATAAAAGTAATACCCTTTAATTTCTTGCTTTCTGATTCTTATAAGTTTAACTTTTAAAATTTCCTTTTTGAACTTTCTAAAACCTCTAGTAAAATTTTGACTGAATATAATAATAATGAAAAGTTTTGTCTCATCCATAGGGTTAGCTGTAAGTTGTTTTTATTTTTCTGTAGATTCTCTTCATCTAATTAATAAAACTCTTTTCTGTCTATTACTTGTATGATAAGTTTTTCAAAATTAATGTGTTGATTGCTTTCTTTGCAAATATGGAGATGACCATATGATTCTTCTTTATTTTTCTGATGTCGTAAGTCATGTTGATTGATTTTAAATTATTAACTAATCTTGCATTTCCTGAATAAACCTAACTTTTCTAATACACTATTTTGAATTTGACTGCTATCATTTAGTTTGGTGTGTATATACATATATTTGCACTTCTGCTCATGAGATTGCTGTTAGATTCTGTTATAAGCCCTATGCTACAGATTTGGAAACTGAGGCATAAAAAGCTTAAATAAATAACCAGAACTAGACAGATAGTAAGTGATTCAAAGTGAGGAAATTTGATTCAAGAATACATTTCCAGAAAATTAAATTATTAAATAACAGTTGCCGATTATATTGCTTTCAGAAAATGATATAAAAAATGATGCTGTTGGTTAGTGAAGTGCTATATGTTAAAAGTTAAAAATTTGTATTTTTCTTGAAGTTATACCATTTTGGCAAGTTTGATGGTTAATTTTATGTGTCAACTTGACTGGGCTAAAGGATGCCCAGGTAGCTGGTAAAACATTATTTCTGGGTATGTCTGTGAGGGTGTTTCCAGAAGAGATTAGCATTTGAATCTGAGACTAAGAAACAAGATCCTTCTGCACTAAAGCTGATGGACATCACCCAATGCCCTTAATAAAGCAAGAGGAGAGAGGAAGACCACTTGCTGTTTTTTGAACATCAAAGCCCAGCACACTCCTGTGTCAGAGTCATCACATGTGCTATTCTCTCTTCCTAGAAATTTCTCCCTCTAGACATCTGCATGGCTTGGTCCCTGGTTTCCTTCATTTCTCTCTTCATTTGTCAGTAAGAAATGCCATTTTATTAAAAAGGACTTCCGTAACCTGCACCACCTTCCTATGTAAATTACTAACATAGCCACTCCCTTCTTCCCTGCTGGGCCATAAACTAGTTCCCTTCACCTGTTTCTCACCTCCATAGCCCCTATCACCACCTGACACTTTAAATTCATCTAACTTCCCCAAGATAATGTAAACTCCTTTAAAAGGCAGGGCTTTTTGTTCTGAATCCTATTTCTAGAGGCCAGATGAGTATCTGACATATTATAGACGTTTTTAAACAAATATTTCTTGCACGAATAAATGAATAAATGAATGAATGCTTCCAAATGTCAAAAGTTACCTAATTTCTCAGAAATTCTTGCTAATTATTTTTTTCCTGTAGTGTAACCCTTCTTTCCTGTAAATCTAACCCTGAAGAAAGTCAAGCTTGGTGCCTTTATCATTATCTTCTTTTTATAGCAATCACTGCAGAGAGAGTTGAAAGATATTTAACATACTTTTTGAGATGCATCCTGACTACGCCCAAGGTAACTTGGAGGTGAGAGCATTCATCATTTGCCATATGATAAACTTCTGTTGTTTGCTTGTGGTGCAGGGAGTTTATAATGGCCATTTTATACGCAATATGCTTGAAAAATGAAAGATTATTGTTGATATTAAAGTAAGATACGCAATATCATATATAATTCATTTCCCTCAATGTATGCCCTTTAGCTGTATTCCACCCTGTCGTTCACACCTAGTCCTAAGATAAATGTAGAAGTGGGGTTCTGTATATAAATGGAGCATCTATCTGCCAAATTGATTTTTGGGGCCAAAGAAATAATTGTAATTTATGAGATACACTTGTGACCGTCATGAATGTTAAGCAGAGTAGATAGTCTGGATGGTATGACTTTGATTTTTAATTATAGGTCAACTCAGCTTAATTCCATAGTGTGACACTTCACTCTTCTTTTTTCCTCTAAATTGAAAGCTAAAAGTGCAAACAAACTAACCTGTGAATGTCAACCTGAGTTTCAGCAACTAGATGTGCAATTCTGAGCAAGTGACTTGACCTCCTGGCTCCTTCATTTTCCTGGCTTGGCCTATATGATTTCCAAACCCATTCTTAAATCTGTAAAATGCAATGATTCTATCTCCTTATTTATTAAAGGAACCAGTTTGGGAATTAGAACTTAGATGAGAATAATTGCTTTGGTCCTAAACCTCATACATTGTTTTCTGATAAAGAGACAGGGAAAGAGAAGGGGAAAAAGAGAGAGAGAAAGAGTCCTAAGTCATAAATCTTTTTTTGAAAACACATCTCCAGTTTTAAAAATACAACCTCAGTTTGCTTGCCTACTTGGGGGACAGATGGAGGTCAGAGTCAGATAACTCAAGTTTTATGGGTGTTTTCCCTTAACTGCTGACCTAGAATCTTATTGCCTTCTTAAACATCATTCTTCCTCTGTGCGAAGGTGTTTCTAAGAATCTCTATGAAGTGTGTTTAAGGGTGAGGAAGGGAGTTGAGGCAAGGCTCAAGGAAAGAGGTTTCAGTGACACCAGAGGCAAGAGTAAAGTTTCTGTTATCTGATGGAACATGGTGCATTCGAGAAATGATGTGATTAGAGCCTAAAGAATAGGGGATTGGGGGATGGGGTAACATAAGACCAGAAAGGCAAGCAGGGGCTAGATCAAGCAGAGGTCTGTAGGACACCTATTTTAGCTTTTATGTGTGATAATTCTGTTCACCATAAGTATAGGTAGGACTGAGGTGGGAGGAAAATCCAAGTGCCAAGCATCAGGCTGTGTTTAGGATCTATTCTTCCACCGCCAAGGTTTCCTTACTAGTTCAAATTCCTCCTGGATGGTTCTTACTTACCTAAGTGTAAGAGGCCTCCCAGTAAGTCCTAGAACTTTTGTAGATTTCTTGGAGATGGGCCCTGCTAACTCAACTAGATACGCCCCACATGTCAGAACCATACTTCAGGTAGAAAGTGGAAGTAGTTGCACTCAGGCGACATCATAATAGAATATCATAATCAAAATTTGTGATGCCTTCAGGAATCTAAAAACCTTCATGCTAAGTACACTTTGACCTTTAATTGGAGCTTAAAGATGTTTTAGATAAGGTTACCCCTTGCATCTCTCATCAAAAATGGATGTTTCATTAGCTCTTTTGCTATCTGCTTGCTGACCCACTAATCCTAGCTGATCCCACAGCTTTATCACAGAGATGAAGCCACACCCCTTTTGAAACACATCTCCTTGTTAGTAAAACAGGCTGGTACCACTGGGACCGTTTTCAAACTCTCTGACAAAATATAGCCAAACCCTCTTAGAAGGGCTGACAGAGAAATAGCTGGCCTAACTGGAAGCTGGTATTTAAAATGATGCAGAATCTTCTGTGCCACCTTAAAAGTTCACTGACTTCATGCAAACATGTTGAGGGCACACATTTCTCATTAGAAAAGATGATCAAATATATTCTTGTATTATCTATATGTGGCAAGGCTAGTTAGTAAGGACTAACAAAATACTTATGTCAGCCACACTGACGAAAACAAATGCCTACATTTGGCAAAGCTCCATTAGTGAAACAAATCATTGTAATGGAAGAAACGTATTGTACTGCTAAAGTTGTGTTCCAATGTAAAACGTGGAATGAAAATAAAAAGTTGTAGAAATGATGCTTTATTTAGTAATGCTCACAAAGCTTGATGAGGAAGTAAAAGGACTAACAAACTGAAGGGTAGTATTAATTTCTTTGCAAAATATTCTATGTGACAACTATTTTGTGCATTGACTTAAGGGTTTTTTTGGTTTTGTTTTCAAAGGAGAAGAATTCATTTGCTGTTGCTTTTCTCCTTATTGGGTTCATTAAATGATTTCAGGAATACTATTTCAGGCCATTTGTTATAAACTTCTATTGGGTTTATATTGCATTTATTTGTTATTAAGATTTGATTGTATGGTTATTTGAGACGAACTTGTTAACACCTAGTTTTTCACGAAAACAGCAAGCTTTAATCACAAAGTTGGGAGTAAGACGTGTGAGAATTAGTGATATCTGCTGCGCTAATCCTACTATTTTACAGGGAAACCCAATAAAGACTTTTGACTCCTGCCACACACCAGCTTAACAGATTTATTAACTAAGAGTATGTTCAGCACAGATTAATTAGAGATTTAAATGCACTATTCCTTCCCAGTGCTGATGATAGCATGAAGAATTACACACTGTTTGAACAAGTGTTCAAATTCCCAGCAATTTCTGTAAACCTATGGAAGAAATAGTTTAAAAAATTGCTCTTATCACTTAGTTGTGTTGATTCATTTGCCCAGGGTAGGGGAGTATATAAGGCTGGGTAAGGCTCACAAGACTCTGTTGAAATACAATTTTCTTAGAGGTGAAGATATAATTTAAAAACTGAAATTCAAAGGAAAAGTAACATTATTTTTGATGCTATGGACTCTTGGAAAGTTCGTATGAATGGCTGCGGGCCAGTGACATCCACAGCATGGACAGAACGGCTCCCGCAAGGAAGAATTTCCTAACTTGTACCGAGGGCTTACTGCATGTCAGACACTTCATGTATATTAGCTCATTTGCTCCTCACAATAATTCTCTGGGGGGAGGTTTGCTATTGTTATCCCTTTTTAAAAGATGATGATGTTGAGGTGCAGAGATTGACACTAATCGTGTGTCTAAGGCTAGACAGAAACGGAACAGAAAAGGGAAGATCTAAAAGCCACTCTGACTCTAGACTCTGTGTTCCTCACCACTAATCTATAGAGCGCTAGGAATGGAAGCTGATTACTGCCACGTCCTCTCTGGGTATATAATGCCACCTGGACTTGTCTTCGTTTGAGAAGCTAGAAAGACACTTCTGGCTTAAGGTTCCTACGGTTATTCTAGAATCCTCCACAAGGGTCAGATCCTCTCATTCTCTGTTTCCTGTTTTGGCAGAAAGTGATGGCAATCAGGTCAGTTTTATGAACCTTGTGAAGAGAGAGAGGAATGGGAGTCAACACTGACATTTGTTCAAGATAAGCATAAAGAAGGAGAGCTTTATCAGGACAGAGTCATGACTTTCCAAACAATAACCTTAGAAAAAAAGTGAAGAAACTTGTTATTCATTTTACCATAGTCTAGAATAATGATTCTCCATTAGAAATTCATGTACCATCTAAACCAGGGTTTTTTAACCTCACCGCTGCTGACATTTTGAATGAATAATTGCTTTGTTATGAGAGGATGTTGACAAGAGTTCCTAGTTTCTACTCACTAAATGCCAGTTGCACCTCCAGTGTGACAACAAAAAATGCCTCCAAACGTTGCTAAATGCCCCCTGGAGGCAAAATTGTCCATGGTTGAGAATGACCAAAATACATAGTTGTGATCTAAGTAGAAGGAATGGTTTTCATAACTTGAATTAATATTCACAGAATTCTTATGAATTTCTATATTTTTAGAAAAATGAGAGTTTTTCTTTCTATGTGGATTAGAATTAGTATTTATATTTTAATTTGTTAATTTATTTTTGATAGAGTGATTAGTAAGATAGGAAAGGTAGATTTGTTTTCAGGGCATGGAGTATTGAAGGCTAAAGCAACTTGAAATGCTAAGATTTTGACTTATTCAGAAATTCCAGAAACAGTCAATAGGGATATTTCTACTCCAAGCAGAGTGGAAGTTTACCATGTAAAGAATGTAGTTAGAGCTTCAACCATAGTATCAAGAAGTAGTGACAATGGTGACTTTATTACCTTGCTTGAACAATTAGTATCATGGCATGTCAGAGCCAGAGGGCCTTTTTAAGATCGTCTTATCCAATTCTCCCGTTTTGCAAAGAATGGGCATGCAGGAAGTTTAAATTACTCATGCAAGGTCTTGGCCAAAGTAGGAATAAAAAATAAGTCTCCTGATCCCCATTCCTACTAAAGACAGTTTCCCTGGGGAATGTGTGAAATCTAGAAGTTGGTCTTCAGGAAGAGCCTTCAGTTGCCATCTGTTGAATCAAGGGCTCTCCTTCGTCTGCTCACATAACTGTTTCTTTTTTCCTCTTTATTATTTCTGTTATAATGCTGTCATCCCATGCTTCTCTTTTGTCAACCAAGTTTTGGTTTTTTTAGAGAAGAGACTCTCTAAATATCATCTTAGCTTCTAGCATGGTTACTCAAGTGTTTAAAAAAACAGTATTCTATGAACCATAAGAAGGATAAATTCCAAACATTGTGGACGGACACGGAGACTGCTGCTAAGCGCCTGGATGACACTCGTGCTTTTCCAGTATAGGGGAAACTATTATTAGACACTATTGTTTTATTTGATTGATTCTCCTGTCTTCTTCTCTGAATGCTTCTATGAGAACAGGGCTTTTTTCTCCCTTGCTCAGTCTTGAGTCCCCAGGGCCTCACATGGTAATTGGCAAATAGGAGGCCCTTAATAAATGTATTTGTTGAATGATGAAATAAAGTAGTGCGTTTGCCAGGGTGGACACAGTGGAAATTTTCAAAATGAATTCACATGAAACATTCTCTTGACAATCATTTACCAAACAGGGAATGTATCATAATGTTTAGAAACACAGTCAGCCAGACTTAGACGAGAACTCCAGTTCTGAGCATTATTAGCTATGTGATCTTACTGAAGTTAACTCCCCCAAGCCTCAGCTTCTGCATCTGTAAAAAGGTCATAATAGTACTATTTATCTCTTAGGGTTCTTATGGAGTAAGACCTTCTTATGAAGTAAGGCTGGTAAGTTGCTTAGAACAGTATGTGGCACTTAGTATGCACTTAATAATTGTGGGCTGGATGGGAAGGAGACTTCTATCCCACCTGGCCATTTGCCATGGAGAAACTTATTGGCCAAACCCCAGGTTTGTGGAAGGATTACCATGCTGTAATACCAAGAGCTATGCTGAGTGAGCCTCTTGTTGCTTCCAGCATTCAAGCAGTAGGTGCCCCTGCTTCCTTCCCTCCCTGAAATAGGGGCATGGCATGGCCAGGCATCCTTATCCAGTGACTAGCTGTGTAAATGGACTAAGAGCCTCATCCACAGGCCAGTTATTCTGAATTCATAGAGAGAGTGAAAGAAACAGCCCTTTGAAATTCAGCCTGAGTCCCTTGATAGAGCAGGACCTTCCAGGGAAGTCCTACATGAGGAGAGGTATCGAGTGCTCAGTAACAATCACTAAAACGGACTTCATTTTCCACTTGACCATTTTTTCCTTTGTGTTGGGGAGCTCTAGAGAGCACCAAGGGTGAAGTACCAAGACCCAGCCCTTTCAATTATTATTAAAAGAAATATAAGCCTTGGGATCCTACCCTTTATCTAAATGAGAAAATAAAACATAGATAATAATAATAATTAGCTAAGAGATGGAATCTATGTATAAGTGAAGAAAATTGAATAACCTATATTTAAATGCTGAAAAGATATACTGAGAAATGCTGGCTGTGTTATAACCCATCCCCCACCCCCATGCATACTGCTATTTACCTTATGTTAAATTCTATTAATAGCTATTCACTTCTGAATAATGAAATTGTATACTTCTCTTGTGTGGAACTTTTGGGCTGCTATTTAGACTTTTTGAGGCATTCCAGATCTGGTAATTAGAAAATGAGAGCACTGGGTGTTTCAAGTTGGTAAAGCAGAAGGCTGAGCCAAAAAGTGCCCCCTTGAGAGAGATGAAGAAAATAGAGGTAACACAGTTGGGCTTGAGGAGAGCAGGATGGGGGGGATGACTAACAGATTGGGCAAGTGTGGTTACAGAGAATGGCTATGTTCTTGATGAGCACATGCAATGATGGACTGAGTAGGTTATTAAATAAATGAAAAATTTAAAAAAATACTCCATTTCTTTCTTCTTGAGCATGGATATTTCTTTATGTCTCTGGGGCCACTGGGTCAAGAGGCAAAAAGTCAATGAATTTTGTGTATGTGTATGAGGAAGATTCCCCCTGAGCTAACATCTGTTGCC